AGCCCCCTTCATTCCCCCCCTTGTGTTTCATCCATTGAGCGTCAGAGTTTGCCCGTGGAAACCAGAATGTGTGAAAGATAGTGCGTAGCCAGTATGTACAGGGTGTGGATCACCTAGTGACTTAGTGCATGTTTCTTAGGCAGTTTTTTGTCTTTGATGACTTGGGGTTGAAGCTGACTTTGGTTTGTTGGTGTTTTGCTTTGACCAACTTGGCAGGATAACCTTTTGGAAGGTTTGGTCTGGCTAGACGTGGCTAGAGAATGCCTAGAGAACCTTTTGGTAGTGCAGCGTGTAGGTGGAGACTGTTTGAGATAGTTCCCTTTAGTTTTGTGTAGGTTTGAGATGACTGTGAACAGTCTGATTCTGTTTGACAAACAGAAAAGGCCATTCATGACACCGGAACGTGAGGCTCCTCTGGCAAGTCTTAGCTGAAGACATGCTTGCAAACGCCTGACCAGAAAACGAGAGAGAGAGAGAGAGGGAAAAGAAGAAAAACACACACATATCGAAGTACAAGTGGTGTACAAAAATGAATGCATGTTGTAGAAAAGGTCACCAGCTTCGCCAAGTTGTAAGCTCTTTCTCTTTCCCATCTGTGATGTCGGTCAGTGCGTATCAGCTCTGGATAGTGCCTACGGCCTTGCTCAGCCTAGTGGTGAGGCTGCTCCTTTAAAAATAGCCGATTCCCCCATAGTGCGATCCAGTCGAGACTTGTTGAAAAAATCATTGATTTGCACGCAGAAACTCTTTGGTTTAAACAAAATAAAATAAACATATGCAGTAAGGGAAAAAAGAAAGCTCAGCCACATATGGACCAGGCCGGCCTCCAAAGAATATGCAGAATCAAGGCAACGTCTCAGAATGTGTTCGAGGTAGTTGTACTGATGTTGTCATTATGAAACTGGTTGTGCTGATGTTGTCCATGAACAAAAGGTGAATCGGCTCTCCATGTACTCGAAGCAAGCTAGAGGGTTTCAGAGTTTCAGAAATGCATTGAAACAATATCGTGCGGGTTAAGTGTGATGCGAGGTATTCTTTGCTGCTGCAAATTGGAATGACACCATTCTACTAGCTCTCCAAGCCATCTGCTGCAGCAACACAGTACTGCGTCCGAAGACAAGCTAGTTGACTGTCATGGGGCTGCACGGAAAAATGTCAAGCTTTCCGCAAGTATTAGCGGAGCCGCAACGGGCAACTCTCCAGCAAAAACGTGACATTGCCGGCCTCTTTTTGTTTGACAGCTGGGGTTTCTGATCACTTTGGAGGCACTATCGTGGACGGCATCAGCTTTTGAAGCTTCGTTTCACGTCCCAGACTAACTGTGTGATAAGTGGTGACACATCCCAGGCGATTCGCTTGACAAACCAGTGACAACCATGGAGTTAACCCGCCCATCCCCATGAACCGAATCGCTACCTGTCGGGCGGTCAACAAACGGGTAGCCTGCGACGACTGAAACATGTCTTCGTCAAACGCCAAACCTGGTGGTCCAAGTGACCCGGAAAGCCAGCTCTTTCCGCACAGCTGTACACTGGAAATGAACCATGCCTGTTGGGAAAAAGGACGAGTGAAAAAGCAATGAAAGGCACAGCATTCTGACTCTGACAGGTGACTTGTGGCTGAGACCGGTACACGAGGAGTTTTGGTGTTACCATCTTCATGACCAGCCACCTCCATGCCCACATGGAGGTGTTCTATGTGCATGCTGCACGCTGGCTTGCAATAACAACGGCTCCTGCAGAAAGAATGTGAACATCACCTCTAGTAGACATGTCTGTGATGTTGCTACGTATGCTATGAGTAATGTGCCCCCAAAACAGCTTACATCATCTTACATCCACCTACAAAATGATATCCCCCTATTCTTCTAACTATCTCAAGGCACGACTGAGTTGTGGATTTAAGGGTCTTTCTCCCCACCGGTGGGCGGAAAACGCTTCAAGCGTTGCCAGGCTCTGGGGTCAGATTTTGGCTAAGCTCCTGGCGCGAAGCTCCGCACGACGTCGCTTCGCGAAGCGAGGCGTCGCGAGATGTTTGGACATAAGACCAAAAAGGAAATAGTTATGTCCGAATTTGTTTTATGTAGAAACACATTAATTTGTTGCCAAACATCAGAATTTGAGGTTCAGGGCAAGTTGGACCTACTTCCACCCAACGTTGCCCATCATGAACCAAGAGCTTGTTAACATGGCATCAAGAGCACGAACTCGTGGCATGTGCCAACAATTGACTTGCGCACCTGGCAAGACTCCGCTGAGCCTTGTGGGGCGTCTCTCCAAAGCGAGAGCCTGGCTCTCAAGCTGGTGCCCTTTGGATCCTTTGGGTGGACCACCATTGCATGACTCGAATCCATTAGTAGCAAAATCCAGGCTCACTGAAAAAGTGTCGATTTAGTATGGTTAGTTGATGTTACTTGGATGTTTTTACATGTGTTTACCTCGTCCGTTGTTGTTTTGAGCAACACACCGGCTCTCGATCCTGCGGGAAGATGTCTCTTGTAGCACCTCAGATGTCTCACTCTGACGTGTCGACGACCACTTGGACATGGCAAGAAATACAACCCAGAGTGTGATTCCATAGTAGACGTGTAGTCTGGAATACCATAGTCTAAAGTACATAATACAGGTGTTCTCTCTGTTTTCGGTAGGTTTTCCATGGTCTTCCTCCTTCATCGTGTGGAATGCGTTCCTTCATCGCCTCGCCTCCGCAGCCAGGCGCTCCTCCGCCGAAGGGAACAAACAAAATACGAGGCCTCGGAGGGCGGAAGTCTCACGGAGCAAGACCGCCCTGGGCACTACACCCCAAGTGGGGATTCGCTGTACAGGACTTAAAACACGGGATTTCTTGCATTTCTTCTGATGAGCTGTGTCAAAAACCTATTGGAACTGGCTCTATAATCCTAGCATCCTTTCGTAACAGGCAAACCGCTGTCCTTTAGCTGCCCTATGAAGGTTTCTGATACAGCTCAGATATGATTACGTCTCAACCGCTTCGATCAGCCTCATGCTTCCAAGCTGTCAAGATCGACCCTTTCTCGGCGCTCGGCGGCTGATTGCAACCACCACAGCCTTGGCGAGAAAAGCCAAACCGGCGTCTTTTTGGTAACGAGGATTGGTCTAACACGTCCTCGCAAAAGGAAAGCTTGAACTTTGATGACCTGCTAGATCAAAATCAAATGCTTGATCATCAATCTATGTATATTTACATAATAGGGACCACTACAGCCAAAATCGACAGCCAGAGCCAGCCTCAGGTTGGGGTCCCGGCAGAAGCATAGATCAGGCAAGACCCTATGTAGAAAGCTGTGTGCCTGAAGAATCAGAGACTCCGAAGCCGTACTCGCCGCAACACCCGTCGTGTCGGGCGGTCCGGTCCGGCTTCATGCGGGTGGTGTCCACACGAGTCATGTCACCCACGTGTAGCATCGTACCATACTGTAGTCAAATTGTTGCATCTCAAGCAATAGAAAGCCATGAAGAACAACTGGAAAAAGCCTTGCGTGAGTTTGTGGCTGGAAATCAAAGGTGTGCTGTCTGTCTTCATTGCTTTTCAATCAAAACAAATGGCCAGCTGCTCAAATGTGGGTTTCAGCACGCCCACGCCTTGCAGCAATCCGGCCAAAGACCACTGAGTAGCCGCGCACAACTAGCATTCCTCGGAACACAGCGAAAGCTGTTAGGACAAAAGGGAACGGTATGACGGTGTGTGTGATTTTCTGGGTAGTGCACCAAATTCCATGATTGTGTCTGAAGGCTCACACAATGGATCATTGTTGTGAAAGACAAAAAGCCCAGCCGTTCTTTCCGGCCCCAGATCTATCCATGAAACACATTCGAAGGGTTGTCAGATCAGATGGGTTGTTAGTCTATAAAATATGCAGAGCCGCTTTTCCAAAAGAAGTGCCCCTTGTATCTGTGCTTCCTTGGTCCTCCAGCTCGCTCCCCGGTGTCTGCTTCCAGTCCGACTGAGTCTGACGCCCCACTGGAAGCACACCACGAAACCCAGCACATCGTAAACCAGCACGGACCTCATCAGCTTCCACATGCACCGTTCTCGCGCGCGGAAGACACGGACCGTTCTCGCGGGAAAACCAAGCGTCGTCGCGGCGGTCGGGACCGTGTCCGACCGAACTCGTGGGCGACGAAACATCCGAAGCAACTTGGTTCCCAACTTGACGTGCTCAAACTCAGGTACCACTCAAAACCGAAAGGTAAGAGCAAAAAGTCTCCAACTCTCGTACAAATCTCCTTGCTCTTTCTCTGCCCCAGACCCCCTGTCATCGCGTCTGAGCTTTGGCACGCGCAGATGGTGCTGGAGATGGAACCCGGATTCAGTCGCAGCCTCTGACCCGAGGGTGAAAAACGAAGAAGCATCCAAATATCAATGGATCAGATCGTTTGGCAGGAGATATGAGCGTCTCTGCGCGTCTGCCCAAAACGGTACTGGTCAAGTAGAGGACATGATGAAATAAAGGTAACATTGCTTTTTGAAGGGGGTCGCCCATCGCGTTTGCAGGTTTGAGCCCAATTCCTGAAGTTCGTGACCGCTCCTGGACAAAATTAGTCATTGCGCGTTTTGGCGCTTGCTCATATGAAATCTGGTGTGAAGGCTTGATAGGTGCTGATAGGTATGGCTCGCGAAAAGAATTGCACAAAATTTGTGAGCGTTGAAGCCCTGGTGAACGATTCCAACGTCAAAGAAGTAAACATCTCAAACCTGAAGAATCTGTTGATATCATTGTTCTTTCGTAGTTCTCACCCCAATCGTAGGGGACCTAGTTGACCGTTTTGCGGCTTACCTGGACATGGCCTTTTCCCTCTGTCTATGACTAGAAGTCCATATTCATACGTAAGAAAGCTGCGCTCGTTGACGATCCTTGCAGCATGCCCTGAGCCAACTCATCCATCTGGCGGCGCTGAACTTTCGGCGGTCAACCAGGGTTACCAGCTTCAATCAGACCCACAGCCAGACTCGGTGCCGGCCAGACTCTCGTGGCAGCCGCGCCAGTTCTGAGGAGTTCCGGGAGTCCCGAACTGCCGCTCCGACTCCACTTCGGACAGAGCTTCCTGGCGGTGTCGACGGAACCGGGGAGGCGAGGATCGACCGAGGTGAAATCGGAGACGCCAGCGCGACCTGGTGGTCTTGGAAAATGCAGCAATGCAGCAGGAAGTGATGCCAACTGCTTCCATCGCTCTATGGTAATCTTCTATATAAGATAGAAGTGGGAACAATTGGAAAAAGACACAAATCATTTAGCTGCGCCATAGTCGTCCTTATTCTACATCCAAACCCATGTGGTTTTGTCAGTCTCAGCCTCATCTGACATGGACTTGTAGAGGCAACGTGGGCCATGAGCCTCAGAAGCCACGTGACATGCCGAACATGCTGCTCTTACCAGTGCACAAATGGGCAAAAATCCTGTTCCAGCCAGCATTTAAAGTGGTTTAAACAAACTTCCACAGTAGTTCCAGAAAAGTTGACACTGCCTTTTTGAGATTCATATCGACACCCATCAGCAAGACCAAAGACCGTCTGAACCCCTGTATTGTCGTCCCGTTGCTGGCCTCCTTGACGTCCTTGCAGGGGCATGTCTGCACCAATGACAAGTCAAAGACATAAGTCGTGGTCACTAATGAGTGTCTGTACCAGTGTACCCCAATGACAAGTTGGAGTGTTAGTGAGTTGGAGTGCACTACTTCAGCGGGTACACTCCAACTCACTAACATGGAAGTAGAAAAAGCACCCCGTCCGTAAAGGAAAGTAGTCTTCCAGGGGACCATGCCATCCACTTCCATGTTAGTGAGTCAGCGGGTAATAGAATCTTCAAACGCATGTTCAGATGTTTAGGCTGAATCAGGTGCAGTTTGGGTATAGTCCATGATGGAGGATGAAGGTTAAGCAAGGCCTTTCTCAAAAATAGCTACAGTATTGATAATCTTTTACCGATTGTTACTGGTAATAGGGCACACCCTAGGTACAAACCCAATACTTGGAAATCACCGGCCTGTGACATACCTGACGGAATCTGGAACCCGTCTACAAATCAGCTCCCACTGCTCAAAATTCCAGAAGTGGTCTTTGTCTTCACATCCGAATGGCCCTTTCGGCAAAAGCTCGTCTCACCACCTTGTCCGGTGGAGAAGCCCTGTCTTTTTGCACGCACCCAGTCCTCCATTTCTGCCTCTGTCCAGGGCACGAGATCTGATGTGGTATTTCTGGTGTTGCAATCTCATTTGCATATTCTGTTGAACAGCAATGCCCAGTGGTTCTTCTTTCTGTGTTGGCGTTCATTGCCATGCCACCCATCATCAAAGACCCCAAGCCAAAACAATCATAAGGGTCATTCCACGAGCATCTGACACAAAGTATCAAAATGCATCATTTTTCACGACAACTCGAACCCCGAACCCACTACACCATCACTCGCACCTCCATCAAGCAAGCATCGCTGCCAGCCTGCCGAATCAAGAAGAGGACAAAACTGAAGAAAACCACCTAATTATATTCCTGTATTATCCGGCTCTGAGTCGAAGACGGGCATTGCACATTCAAAACCAGCAAATATGGTCTGCGATGTTCCAGTACATATGTAGTATGCAGAACTAGTAAATAAATGATCCGTGCAAATCCTCTTCACGCCAAAAAGAACTAAAATGAATTGAATATATATATATATATAAGGAGGAATTCCTGATGCACTTTTGTCCCAAAAAGCCAATCACCGCGTCCCCCTCCTTCGGCGCTCTCGCTCGCGCACCTTTTGGACCTGCGACAGCATCTCGCCGAACTGTGATCTCCTGCGACGCGCCCGCGCGCGACACGGCGTTGACGTACCCGCAGGTATCCACCGCATCGTATGGAAAGGATGCCATCAAAAGATCACCTCTGCACCCAAATTCGGGGGTCGCGTTGCCATGAGGCTTTGGTATATCCTTTGCACATAAACCAAACTTCTATACACTCATAGAAATCTCCCCGAAGGGTGGTCATCTTTGCACCGTGCCGAAGTCAGGGGAACGCACGAACGGACTCGCGCGCCTGCGGTTGACCATCTTTGCACATGCATCATTTACCGAGCGTGACAAACGCATCGAGGTCAGTGCATCCACCTGGTTGCTGCTCAAGCAGCAAAATACGAGCAAGACACGCCACCGCACTACCGCCATGTTTGTGACATGCCACAGTATGTGTTGTTGCAGAAACATGCGTGTCTTGCAGAAGAACCTGGCCTCGAATGCCCAAGTGATGCCAGCAGAGCATCTAAGCATGGGCAAATCACTGTCATCAGGGCCATGATTCAACCCATTGGAAAAAGAAATATTCAACCAAAACCTCTTGGAATGGATGCTATCAGGACATGAAGTGCTTGAAATGTCCACATACCGATGTCACAAGCAGCAAGCTGCTGGGGCCCCAGGCAATGCGCTCAATAAGGTCACCAGCACCGCAAGGCTGCACAGCACGAAGAGCGCCTCGCAGAGCACAACGAGCCCCGTCGAAGGCCCCATGGATCTGTCATGGACGTTGAAAAAAGACTCTTAAGGAACCTAATAGGGATGGCCTCCACCGGCCTCCACCTACTTGCGATGGGGAGTGCCCTGATTCTTCAAGTGAACATGTGTTCGTTCAATGCCGTTCATGTGTTTGTTGGCACGTTTGGGATCAACTCCCTGTTTGGGGTGGTGTGAACAATTGCCTGCAGTACATTTGCCAATCGTTTCTGGAATTTGATGTCTGTTTCAATGGTTTTGACCTGTGTCTTGTTGGAACAAGTTCGTTGCTTGGAAAACGACGACTCCCGACAGAAAACTGAATCTTTGTTTGGCATCCCTCACACTTCTTTCACTTTGTCACAAGTGTCATGTAGCAGGTTTGGCAGAAAAAGGGTCGAATATGAAAACACATGAAAACAGTTTGAAAAACATATGAAAACATAGACACCCCAAGAGCGAAACTGGGGGCATGGACGGTTTCACGCAGAAAGCGGACGGCAAGCCGAGTAGGTACTGCCAGCCGATCCGCTCCCGGTTTCGTGGGACCGATGGTTTCTTCAGCCTGAAGATTCTGACAGGGTGGATTTTTGCAGCTAAACGAAGTCGTCCCCAATGAAAATCAGGGATGTCGGCCGCAGCACGTCCGGCTTTCATCACAGACCGCGTGTGTGTTGGCGACAGCGGCATGGGGGTGGCCTGTGCATCAAACATGGATGACGTCGATGAGTAGACCTCATGCTCAAACTGAAATCAAAAGGCCGCAATACATGGGTGTGTATGTCTATCCTCATGACATACAGCAACTGCCACAGTCCGAGCTTTCGTGTCCTTCTTGAAGATCACAATAATTACATCATGGCAATGGCAATTCTCATGCAAAGTGTTTTGGTCTTTCAGCCTCTTGCAGAATCACCTCAGTCTTTGTTGCCCTCTACGTGTCCACGCAACGCTTGGGAAGCTGCAGAATCGCCTCACCTCACCTCCGGCTGCCTGACGAGACTTCGTCACCGGACCGGGCCATCGGACCCAACTGGCCAGTGCAATCAACAGGCCATAGTTCGGATCACAGCCTGAGCGGATCGGCGGATTCGTCTCTTCCTTACACCTTCAGCGATGTCGTTGGTTTCGTCTCGTCGAAGTGAAAGGGACGAACGCATCCGGAGGGGTTTTGGGCGGACGCATCCGGGACTGGGGCGATGGCCTGTTGAAAGATAACCTATCGGTGGTTCAACAACGGCAACATCGAAAAAGAACAAGAATTGGGAGGTAATCAACCAACCAACAGTGAAAGCTGAAAGCTCATCTATGGGGTAAAATCCCATGGCCGGGAGTGCTTTGTCCCGATGGCTCTTTCCTCCCTTCAACAAGCTGGCCGTGCCATTGGCCATTTCAACCGTCCACAGCTCCAGCAGCCAATGCTCTTCCGGTTAGAGGTGTCACCCACGGTCAGCGTGTCTGAGCGTGGCCAAGTGCCACTCTGCAAGTACTTGTTGCTCACTGCAACAGGTGTTCAATCTGAGGCTACAGCAAACCATCACCATGCAGACCACACATGAGTAAACCTCAACGCTTGGAATCTCACAAACCTCGGGCCTCAAGCAAAGTTGCCTCATCAATTAGTGGTTGAGTCAAAGCACTATGAGTACTCATCCACACATCAATGATACTCAAGTTCATGCAGTGTCGAGAAATTCTTGGCAGCGCATCTCGTGAACTATGAACTCCTACCCTCCACCAAGCACCTGCAAAACCGACTGAGAAAGCATCCGGACTGAGATCGCTACGATGTAGGACACAAAAGATCGCTGGACAGAGCTACTATAGCCTCAGATGAACCGCAACCATCCGCCGACATTGCAGGAACCGTTGAACATCAGCATTGCATGTTGAAAATCCAAAATGCGATTTCGACACATTCGGGACATGTGACATGGATTGACAGGGTCTCCACACCGCACCATGCGTCCGAACTCTTCAGGCAGGCCAACTAGTCGACGCCATGTTCACCGGTCTCGTGCTTTTGGAGCAAAACGCACCCTGAAGTCCAGCATGACTGGCGTATCTTTTTGGGCTCAGGACCCTGGCCCTGAGCGTAGCAAAGATGTTGAAGTTGGGGATCCGGGATAATGGGCTCAGGCCCAAACCTGTCACAGTCCATCAAACCGCGCGCAGTGAACAGTTCACCGCGTGCACGCGCATCTGTTCCCCCGCACCGAGCTGCCGAGACGATCGTTTTTGACCCGAAAAGGGGCCCCTAGAGTCCGACATGAGCAATTCGCTTCAGCTGTTCGGCAGAAGGCGCAAGGAACTGCATGTGAGGCGGTCTTTAGGTCGACTGTCCGTGCGAGGTTCATGTTTCATCCTGCCTGAGGTAAAAGCAAATGCTTAAAACCTGAGCAAGCCAGAGCCAGGAAAATCTGCTGGGGCAGGTTGGGGTAGATGCTTGTTCTCAGGTCTTGCTGCCGAAAGGGGTATTGAACTTTATAGCACTTGGAATCTGGAAATGAGAGTTTACAAGCGGCACGTCTCGCCAGTTTCATAATGTTTCATATATATGAAGCTGCACCATGTCCACGGAAGTTTTTGAGAATTGTCCGAATCTTCTGTCTCCATTCTGGAGGGTCTGTCAACCAACCACTCCAGCTTCCGGTTCGTCTGGTCCTGGTCCTTGGTCCTCACTGGGCTCCTCTCACCAGGCAGACTGCAATGACCACGCGGACCAGGGTCAGGTCGTGGTCCGGACGATCTGGCTCCAGCCTCGGGCACTCCGAGGCCGAGACTCCTAGGCCGAAGCGGGGTGAGAATGGGGGGTCCTTGGAGGACTCCTAAAGAGCACAGCACACAATGCCACACGACCCCCTGAAACCAGCGCACAGCACACCACCTCTAGAGCCCCTCACGCGTCCATGAGGGACAACACTAGCTCCCAGTTGCTCCAGGCCACTGCCTGCGGAACGGCGGACACGGTCCAAACCGAAGGAAATCGACTGCCCCTCCGAGCGGAGCTGCGAAGTCGTCCAAATGTCTGTGGCTCTCTGATATCTGAAGACGCGATCTTTATATGGCACCTCTGCGCAGCTTCCAATTCGAATGCTTCGAAGAGGCCTACATTTGTTCTTCGATCTTCAACGCCGCGTGTGATGAAACCAATCACCAAGCTCGGAAGCCTCGCCGCGTCGAAAAGCTCGCCGCGTGGTGATCCGTGTGCCGGGGGCGCACCCAACCCAGGCACGTAATGGTCGCCAGCAGGAAAAATCGCAAAAAGCCACGGAGACCTGCCAGCGGGTCTGCCTCCAAGACCCGGACCGTCCGAAGGACCCCCGTGACCGGATGGACTACACAGAGTCCGAAGACGTGCCACGAACACGACCCTGCTTGGCAGATCGGAGGGAATGTCAGTGGAATCCTGGAAATCGGTCGAAAGGCCATAGGCCACAGCAGGTCGATCACCCCGGACTGGTTTGATTTGAGCACCCCGTGCACTCGTGCACTCCTTGGATGGCATGGCATGGCCCCCGAGGTCGGATGATGACGACCGAACCGGTGGTGCCATCACTCCACGAAACGGCCCATGATGATGCCAGGGAGTGTAGTGCTTTCAGCTGGACATGACCAAACGCCCTCTGCTACCAGCAAGAGCAGCAACAGTCAGTCGTCGATGCCGGCTTGTAGAGCCTTCTCCTTTGGTGTCAGCAACCCCTCTGCAGTATTTCATGGCCTCAACCACGTGCTGCAAATGCATCAGCATCAACATCCACAAGTGGCTCAACAGCCTCTTAGATTCTGATAAGCAAGAGTTGTAAAAATGGGTTCCATGATCCGAAACGTGTGAACACCAAGCAACCGAGGACAGCTGGGTGCCCATGCCAAATGGGTCAAGACTGCGCAGCTAAAGGTCAGCCTGGGCAAAAACATTCCATCTCCAAGCTGCGGCTCTTTTTGGAGCAGCAAAAGTTGCCATCGGGTCTGGATCAAACTGGTCCTCACCTCTTTTCCTCAAAAATGTTTGAAGCAAGCGGGTCTGAGATGCTGGCAAGGCTGCAAGACAGGAAGACACTAGCGTCTGGCACGAAGCAAAGGTCTTGGTTTAAGCTCACGCAAATGCTTTAAGCAGTGAACACACTAAAGTCGTCTCATGTCTGGTATGCCTCTAATATCAACTGCTACTGCTTCGGACTCAACAACTACAGATATTTGTCTGTCAAGTGCACCTCTTGTCATCTTTCAACTCAAGCAATGCTAGCTGCTAACAATCCAACTTGGTCTGCTTGTTCGCAGTTTCAACTAGAAGTCACTAAAGGCCTTGTGCAAGCCATGTACTAATCGGCACATTATGACTTGTATGAACTCTATGCAACCCATGACCTCAAGACCTTTGAGCAGTCTGCAATATGGTTCTGGGTCAAAAGCTTGGTTGACCAGAGACAATGAACAGAATGGACTAGAAGGAAGTCAACCTACCCTGATTTGGGGATGGTTTTCTCCCAATATCCCATCTCTCACCTCCAACCTACCCTCAACCCGCACCCGTTCCCCGTGTTCATGCCCCGTGTGTATCTCCACACCCGCCAATCGCTCAAGCGGAGAAGTGGGGCCGGCAGCACCTGTTTCAAGCCCCGGATGGTCATGTGGTGGTCGGAACCAGAGAAGACATTGAACAAAGACAACCCGGTTTGGGCCTTACTCTCCTGCAAAAACACCCTGGCTGACCACCAAAACATGACACTGAACACCCTTAAAATGTCTTCATTGATGCAAGACCTGTAGACCTATGTAGACCTATGTAGACCTGTAGCTCCTCCAGTTAAACTTGTTCGAGTTGAAATGGAGGAAGACACATTGCAACACACCTGAGGAGGACATCTGTATCCTAGCACTTTCAAAATCTCGTGCAAAGCCCTCCGACCTGCGCAAGGTTGTCCTGCGCCACGTCCATGAACCTAGGTTTGCCAGGTCGTGTCAGTCGAGTGCTGCAAATGTTTGTAAAACTGAACTGATCCGAGGAGACAGCACAGGCAAAAGGCAATTAGATTCTTGAAAACTCTGAACATCTTATATAAATGCCTTAAGTTCTGAAGAATGAAGTTGCGTGACGCAAAAAGCTCACATGAGGACATGAAACGTCTGCCGTCTGCAGTTGCAATTTGAGAGCTACTTTAAAGATTAACTTGTACCACTTAGAGCTGCGTGCCCGTGCCACTCGACCAACGCGTTGGTCCTTGGTTCAAACATCGACCAACGGCTTCTTCGGTCAAAAGGCCAAGTTCGAACAGGCAAACCAAAGGTTGGACACCTGATACCTGGCTGAACACTAACATGGAAAACAGTCTGATGACCCGGGTGCGAGCCTCGACCCGGGTCCATGTTGGTTTTTGGGAGTGCAATTTCTATGGTGTAATCGTAAGTAGAAAAAAGGATGAAACGATATGAAATGCATCGTCTCCGACGTTTCTCAATCAGAACACACGGTCCACCCCCCATCGAAGCCAACGGGTAACCCGTCGCACTCCGTCCTCGTCCGGGCCAACGACGGTGGTCTCGGTTCGCCATTCGACCGGGGCCCCCCGCTTGCCCACGGCCACCGAGATGGGGATCCAGGTGGCCGCGTCCACCATGATGGAGAAGGAGAACTTCCTGCGCGGAAGTAGCGACGGGAGGCCGTGGAATCGTGGGAGGTGCTTTTTTGGCCACAGAAAGCACACTAAAGATGCCACGAGCCACACTGGAGTCCAAGCAAAACAAGGCAAAACAGGTCGCGATGATTGATACGCTCATACACTCAACAGTCTAGAAATAGAAAATCCTTTCCATGTTTGTTCGAAGCTGAAAGTGCGGAGACCAACCCAGCGGCCGGTCAGAGAGAACCCAGCGGGTCAGAGAGGGGAAAAAACAAGCGAAACGTTGTGGGTTAGGGATCAATCTCAACACATTGAGGAAAAGCTTCCAACCAGTCACGCTTCTTGATACCGCTGGGAAGGGAACATAGTCCACCCTTGGATTAGTGTAAGTGCGGCAACAAGCGATCTACTGAAGCACACCGAGATGGAAAGCAGAACAAAAGCAATCACCCGTTTGAAGATAGATTGACACTGTCAGAACTGAATCGAGGGACGTGGAAGACCAAACTACGCAACAAGTTCAAGTGTTCAGAAGCAATATCAAGATTACCAATGGACTTCCCAACTACCCCAGGGAGCGTAGTGAGAGAAGGGGTACGGCGGCAAGTTTGTCGGATGCACGATGCTGTGAAGAACGAAATTAATGTTAGTACAGAATCTTCTTGAGGCTGCCGTGTGCTGTTGTTGTTGGAGCAACGTGATGGACAGCATCCTGGCGTGTGAAGCTATGCTTTATACTTCAATATACATTAACCTTTGTGAAGCAGCATTCATCTCACATCCAACTAAATAGCCTATGCACACAAGCATCCGGCAGTGCAGAAGTGTATAAGATTGCTTCGGAAATGATGAGCTTTGATGTCCATACGGTGAGAAATGGCTGTGACAGACTGCACCTGTCACTTCAGTGTATCGTCTCAAAATTTTGAGGTCACACCAGCTTGTTGACCGATTACTTGTTTGTCTCGAAAGCGTTTCTTCCCAAACGTTGCTCAGAACCCATGTTCAGGATTCTGAACGTTGCACCATGCACCCGAGTGGGCATACAATGGTTCTATACCGGCATGCTGGTATGCCGGCCAGTATATACCCGACCCGACCCCAACAAAATCGTCTTCGGATTTAGCTTCGGGGGGGCTACCTGCTATGGTCGCCATCTGGTCAGCCCTCCTGGCAAAAGGATTGCGCAGGGGATCGGTGATCCAATCCTGACCTGGGCGGATCCAACGTTGGATGCGAGAACATCCAAGCAAGGGAAGGAGAGAGCTCATGGAATTCACGACAAATATGCGAAAATGAGTGAAATCCTAGGACCTCGGCCAGAAGTGATCTCAACTTCCAAAAATAGACATGGCTTGGCAGACAGTGGCAAGTTTGGAAGAGTGCGCCCTCTTCCGTGTTTCGTCGCGTGAGTGTCATGAACCATCCTTCTTCCCCGAGAAACTACCCTTCAAAAACCATCCCGAATGGGCTGTATGGCACCTACAGACCAAATCAAAACACGACCTCCCAGATCAAAATCGGATCAAAACCAACAAAAACTAGGCGTTCGCTTCCTCTTGAGGCTTGTCCTCTAGACCGCTCGGCATTGTTCCGACCGGTGCCCCGTCTCGCGGTTTGGCATCCAGCGTCCGGCCGGATGGCTTTGGGTTTGGCGCCCGAGGTCTGCGCAGGCCCAGCCGAAGAGAGAACAAACCGCCAAGGAGAGGAAGAACAACAAGATACCCGTCAGCACCTCGCAGGCCACGCTGTCTCGACGATTTGCACAGCCAAGGCGCGGCCGGTTTCCCGAGAGACGGCGGGAGCGCAGAACATCGGACAGCCCCAAGCGGCTGAAACCCTCTGTTCGCGAAGAATGGGATGTTAAGCCGTTCCCTGCAGTTCCGTGGAGTGAATCAAAGGAAGAAGAAGACGTTCGCGGCTCAATGAATTGGCTTCATTCGTGACCCAGGAAAGAGTTTTTGACTTCCTTCGGCTCAAAAAGGGGGGGAAACGAAACCTCCGCAACCTACTGAAGGAAGCTCCCAAGCGTGAAGGAAGTGTGTGGAGCCCAAGAAGTAGAGAGAAAGGAGAGAGATGACTGACTGCCTCGCTGACTGATTGCCTGACTGACTCTGGCTGGCTTACTCACTTCAAGACTACCACAACTCATAGGATATGGGTAGATAGCAGGGTCTCTTCCCATCAGATCAACTAAGAAATGGATCTCAAAATGCCCAGACACCCCGTCACTCGCCCAGGTGAGTGGATCGGACCAGACTTCCCACCCCACTGGGCAGCGAAGGAGTTTCACTCTTCCTCTTTGAATCTGAAGGCATTTTTAGGGCACCCCACACAAGTGCCATCCTTGTGGCAATGCGCAAACCTGAAGGGATGGTGGTTTGGCTGGCCCTGTTCTTCTGCGACTCAACATTCAGCTGGCAGTGTTCGAAGTCCGATGGTCCAATTTTCTACGGTGTCTTTTTCTATCCTTCCTTTACAAGCAAGCAGTTCTTCCACCCAATCTGGTGATCCAGCAGAATGGAGGCACTATCTGGTTGTGGATGTGTTTCAAGTTTCAATCGGCCAACGCACTGCTAGTGGGGCACCCGGCTGCGTATACGTGTGCGTGTGTCTGTCTTTGCGTGTAAAGTTTCGCAGCACACGAGCGGTCCAGCTCTGTTTACCACTAAACTTGCATAGGTCCGGCAAAAAAGTAATCCCGAGTACCTATTAATAAACACCCCCCAATTAAAAAACACAACCTCCAAGCCCTAAATTCGGCGTATATGTGTTTTCAAATTACCGCCCTTTCAAGCCGCTACTAAACTACCAACATGGTCGACTTTGGGGGTAGTTTCTTCTATTAAGTTCCAAAAACAACCGTAACTGCCCACATCTGTCCGCCCTGTGTATCCACCATGACACGCCGCGTTTACACCAGCAGGTTTTCCTTCCTCCAATGGCACGGACTCACGCAACGCACTTGCCACTGAGGTCGTGCAAAACCGCATGGCAGAGCGACATCACCTTTCGAAAGCTTTGGTTGTCAGTCCAATGAATCAGTATTCGAATAAAGACCAATAAAGGTGTTTGTACGGGAAAAGGAAGACCCTTCGATCTGGATGTTTATTGATTTTTTGGTACGAGTTTAATAAAGGAGTTAGGGATATTACTTTTGTTTTTGAAGCTCTTCCCAGGCGGCCCTATTTTGGACCCCCCCGATTTCAGGGACCCCCTGTTAGGAAGGATGTGACCGAGTTGCTCTTATTAGGGGGGGGGGGGCCGTGTTTATTATAGGTGGAAGGGATTATTCCCGAAAGCATTGCGAAGGGTTCTTCCGGAAAATCCCTTGAACACTGACACCTCGACACTTACACTTGCACACTGACACTTCCACACTTGCACTTGAACACTGACACTTACACACTGACACTTCCACACTTGCACTTGAACACTGACATTTCTACACTTACACTTGAACACTTACGCTTCCACACTTACACTTGAACATGAACATGAAGACTTACACTTCTATACGTATCCCAGTGTAAGTGGAAGAGTGAAAGCATCCAACGGCAAGTGTGAGTATGGAAAACTTGCACGGGAACGCAATGAGTACGCAAGTGTGAGTATGGAAAACGTGCGCGGGAGATGTCCTAATGAAAAACATTTCCCCACTTTATAAATTCTCTCTTAAAGGCGGAGGGTGGGACGAACAGCGTCAACTGGCGTCAACCAAAAATGCAACCCTCTGCGGAGATCGTGCGTGTCGAGTGCGCGAAATGCAGGCGAGAGCGCGATTTGTCACATTACCGCGCAACCCTCTGCGGAGATCGTGCGCGTCGAGTGCGCGAACTGCAGGCGAGAGTGCGATTTGTCTGGCGCCCGCGCAACCCTCTGCGGAGATCGTGCGCGTCGAGTGCGCGAAATGCAGGCGAGAGTGCGATTTGTCCCGTGCCGCGCAACCCTCTGCGGAGATCGTGCGTGTCGAGTGCGCGAAATGCAGGCGAGAGCGCAATTTGTCCCGTGCCCGCAACCCTCTGCGGAGATCGTGCGTGTCGAGTGCGCAAAATGCAGGCGAGAGTGCGATTGGCGCGGTCCGCGCGCAACCCTCTGCGGGGATCGTGCGTCGAGTGGATGGGAAGACTGGGTGAGGAACAACAGCCGCAACTTCACAGATGCCTACACCATCCAGCTCTGCTTCGGGTCGAGGTTTCGCCTGAGCAAAGACCATGAATTGAGGTGAAAAAACATCTAGATGTTCACATGGTAACCAACTGCATGTCTCATACCGTGACTTCTTCCTGACAACTCCTGTGTGGACGTCGTTCTGCGGAAGCACAACAAGGCGGCCCTTTCTGTGTACAAAGGCGAGTCGCGAGCTCAACAGCGAGAGTACGCTAAAACATATGCAGTGCCTGCTGTGTGTCACCTCGTGCTACTTTGTCACGTTTTTCTTTGAGACAATAACTGTGGTACACTGACTAGTATAGTGGTTGGTTAACTACATCCGGAAACGTTACCTCTGATCGTATATCGATGGACGCATCTCCTCTGACAGGTCACTGCTTCGACAAACTTGTTGCGTACCTGCCTCAGCAATTTTCTATTTTCATTCCAGCTCGCTTTTTTTAGTGAGATTTCCTGCAGCCGTGCACGCTGCTTCTCCCCTTACCAGCAGCTCAAATGCTCACGACGATGAGCTGGGCTGTCACCGCTTGGCCGCCGGTGGGGGGTTTGGGAGGCCTGCGCACTACTTCGTTCACCATAAGACTAGTCGCGAGCTGAACAGCGAGAGTACGCTAAACATCTGCAGTGCCTGCTGTGTGTCACCTCATGCTACTTTGTCACGTTTTTCTTTGAGACGGTCAATTAGTCAATGACAAGCATAGTGGTTGGTTAACTACATCCTAGAAAAGCTGTGTCCTGGAGTGAAGGAAACGTTACCTCTGATTGTATATCGATGGACGCATCTCCTCTGACAGGTCACTGCTTCGACAAACTTGTTGCGTACCTGCCTCAGCAATTTTCTGTGTTCATTCCAGCTCGTTTTTTTCAGTGAGATTTCCTGGAGGCGTGCACGCTGCTTCTCCCCTTACCAGCAGCTCAAATGCTCACGACGATGAGCTGGGCTGTCAACGCTTGGCCGCCGGTGTTCGTTCACTATATCTACAGTGAAGACCTTCACCAGCAGCAGACATGGACACACACACACACAGACAGGGACTCATACACACACATCACACACAGAGACCCACGCACTGCCTCAACTTACTCGGACACACACACACAGACAGAGACTCATACACACACAGAAATAGATACACACAGAGACCCACACACTACCTCAACTCACTCGACTTAACACTTCACACAGAACACTTCACTTAACAGATAACTCACACTCTGACTTCCTACGTGATGAAAAATGCTTTCGGGCCACTCGTCGTCTAGTATTTTGTTGTTGAAATCGTGCCTAGCATGTCCTTACAGCAATCAAAGCGGACATGACAAAGAAGCTCTCGACAAGTCATACAACTTGTGATACCTAAAACTTTGTAGGCAACTTCAAGTGTTTCTCTAAGTTTGCCTGAGGACCTTCTCCCAATACGAGATCCGGGCTGTGCCGTTTTGAACGCGCAGACCACTTGCGTCGCTTCTGTCTGTCACTCACTCACTCACTCAGTCACTCAGTCACTCAGTCCCTCAGTCACTCACTCACTCACTCACTTGCACTCACTCACTTGCACTCACTCACTTGCACTC